AGACTGTGAGAGAATAAATTTCTCTTTGTTAAAGCCATCCACTTGTGGTATTTCTGTTACAGCAGCACTAGATAACTAAGACAACCAGTGATAGGCTGAGCCAAAAAGAGATTGAAAACAGTGCTTAATTACAATGTACATACCAACTAAAAACAATGAGCAATTATGTTTAACAGAGGAAGACTCTCAGCTCCCTTAGGATGAGGTTAAAAATGATTAAAGACAAATGGTAGAAAATTTCAAAGCTTTGCCTAGTCTTAAATCGGCAATGTAATTTTCTTTCCCCATAACACTACATCAGGGCATGTCTATCTTCTATGATAAAATCTCCACTCTGGACTGTCATCCTTCCTGGCTTGGAGAAGCACATTTGCCATTCCAAACACTTACAATGTCACCATATTTTATTCACCACTCCTTTCTAATGAAATACTCCCATATATACATGCAAGCCATTTTGCTCACAATGCACTGGTAATGGAATGCTTCTGAGCCTTTCTCAGGGAACAATGATTTATAGCCAGCAGGAGAGTTAAGATGAAATCAGGTACACAAGTTCCTGAATGTCACATAATTTTATAGTGAGCTACAAGGGAAATGTGGTTTTAAATTGCATTTCGCTTATTCTTTAGGTTGGGGTACAGTTATACGAATTAATTCTGTAAAAACAGCACCTCGTTATTTAACAATATCTATTACAAGAAGGAAATGCCTTACTCAAATGAATCATTTTAAGGATCTTAAAACTATTCTTCAATTGTGAAATTTATGAGAGGAAGAATGATTTAGAGGATTAAGAAGTGGCTTGGATAAACTTTACAGTTCTTAACTTTCCTTTGCCTCTGTTTTATTTTAGTATAAAATTTGACTAGATATTAATTTTTAACTTTTTTGTACCTTTGGTTCCTAAGTTAATCATCTAAATACTGATCTGAGAAAGGAATTACTGTGGAGATAACCTAATGTCAAAAATATAATAGCCTTAAAAAAGAAAAATAATTTAAGTCATTTATTTTAGGTCTAGTCAGTTGATGATTAAAGTCACAATAGGACCCCAAAGCCTAGATTTCTAGGACTGTGTTCTTTTTTTTTTTACAACCTAGATGATTGCCCATTCTAGACTACCAAGAAAAGGCTAGAATAGAATCACAGGTCATAGTCTGGAAAGCCCCTCTACTCTAATTTATCTAAGAACATGTGCTTCTTCCACCTCCCAAGAGCTTAAAAGTTAAACCCTTGCTCCTCAGTCTATTCTCCACACAGTGATCAGAGTGTTCCAATCAAACAATGACAACCACTGCCCTCCCAGCCCTGCCAACCTTCCATGACCTCTCATGACCTCTAGAATAAAGCCCAAACTTATGACAAAGCCTACCTGATCTGACTCCTGACAGAAGCAGGGGTTTAAAACTTACATACTTGAGTATTTTAAAGTTATTAAAAAAAAAAAAAAAAGAAGTTTATTCATTGCACTCATAGTCAGTACAGCCTGAAAATGAGCTGGACTGAACTCTAATAAGCATCATCTTTGAAACTATCATCACAATTCTAACAATTTTCGTTCTGTGGTAATAAAATGTATTTGCAAGAGAAATACTTCTATTTGTACACATGAGCCAACGAGATCTGAATCTGAGCACCAAGTTTCCTTTAAAATCTCTTAAAAACAATAATCACCAAGTACTAAAGATCCTAGCATGGATCTTGGGATTTTTCAGGAAGAATATACATGAGAAAAAAAAAAAACTGAGCTTATCAGTCACATTACTACAGGGTGTCTTCATTATGACAAGACATGGCTTTCCACTTGCTGTAGATATCATTACCTTGTCCAAGAAAGCATTTCCATCCTTTAGGGACCAGCTAGGAAGATTAGACAGCCTGGGACTGGGAAAAAAAAAAAATTAAATTACCCTAAATAAATTATAATCCTCAGTGATTTTATGGTGACTGTACTGTCTCCATAAGGTTGAAAACAGTTTGAAATTACTGGCAGCAGTGCTCACCCAAAATACTCATGAGAAAGATGAAAAATTACCAGGTTGTATCAAGCTTAAGAATTATGTGGTAACAGAATATTAAAAGGACAAATAGTTTAGCACTGAATTGGGAAAATAAACAGAATGTTATACAGATTAATAAAGAAAAAAGAAATATGAGATACTAGAACATTTTATGGTTTTCCAATCACTGTCTGTGACTTCATCTTACTTGCCTGACAACAATCCTGAAGAGTGGGCAGAATGGGTAGCATTATATTGTAGATGAAAAAAACAGACTCTGAAAAGTTAGGTGCTCTGACAAGAACACCTATTTAGTAGGAGGCTCACCATCTACCAGTCAGAATTTACTGAGAATAAAAATACCTGAATTCTAGTGAAATTCATATTTTGGATTCACTGCTTATAAGTGGGTTTAGTCATTCATTACTGGTGGCCTGAGTTTCAAGTTCTGGAAGACAAAGCTAGTTTTCCCAAACATTACAAAATGATACCACGTATCTAAATGAATAATTTCTAGAAAGTGAATTTAAGTTTATGTATACTTCAGGTTAAAAAAAGTATGGATTCAGAAATCATACACTTTTGGCAATCTCAGGATTTAGCTGACCAGAACAATTATACTGGAGGCAGAAAATGTGCGTAATTCAGCAAGGAAAAAATATGTTAATAAAAAAAAGCATAATCACCAAGTAGAAATGTGAAGAAAAAGTACAAGCTGGATGGTAAAGGATTCTACAACTTCACAACAAAATTAAAAACTGTGAAATAAAAGTTAAGAATAAAATAGAGTTTGTGACTAGAAGAACTCTATAATCACAAATCAAATATTAGTATACTTCCTCATCCTCTTCCCAAATTTAATCAAATTCTGACTTTGTAATTAGGTGATAGGTATGAAAGTCAAAGAGAAACATAAATATGTAAATATTTGTCAATCCGCTAAGAAAGGTTAAAAACCTGAATAAAATACATACATATCTAATTTCAGAAAAAAGTGAGAATTTTTTGACATATTCCAAACTTACCTAAGTTGCAAGAAGAGTACATAAACTACCATATACCCTTTACCTAGATTTACCAACTGTCTACATTTTGCTTTTACTAATGAAAAAGTGAGAATTTTAACTTTGATACTTGAGAATGGAAAGGAATACCAGGAGAATCAAATTTGGTTGGTTTAAATTATACCTGATATCCATTCTTTGTTGCTGTTGTTTATTCTGGGAATTTTCTACTCTAACCTCTGGTGGAGGGATGGGAATCCTATCGCCATTAGCTATTTTAATTCCCACTCATCTCATTTAATAGTTACATGTCTTTACTTTTAGACTTCTTACTTCTTGAAAAATATATTTACTATCAAATCAGATTAAGAAACCAAGCATTCTAATAAAACTGTAAGGACAAGTCAATGTGGGTACTATTCTCATTTCATGCATGTTAACTCTCTAAAACAAGGTTGTAAATATCCCACTTTCCTTTACAAAGAGAACTAGATCAATGGACATGCATTCTGTCTGTTTCCCATCAGACACACATAAATCAACCTTCAAAATACAGTTGACTGATCCATTTAGTTGTCCTCAACAAATGATTAGAAATGGCACTCTACTTATCAGAATTCTTTTAAAAAAGCAAAATTTTCAGTTATTGTGGTTAGAGCTCTTAACAAACACTTTTCATAACATCAAAGCCTTCTATAAATAGCAATCGTTATTTTGGATTTGAGAAATTGGTAGTAGACTGAATCCTCAAAGGGGAGCATGACCATATAACAATAATGGTAAAGATGAAGCGCCACAAAAATATGTCTTCAAATGGCAAAGGCATGCTAACAATACAGATGACTATTGAGTTCCACTGAGTTAATGACTAAAGCATAAACAGTAAACTTGAAGCTATTATTACTTTGCTTTTATTGACTACACAAGTTGACTTGTAAACAAGAAGACAGAAGGTCCCTCCACAAAAATCTATTTTAAATAAAATATGGAAGATGAAGATATTAGAAAAGTTATGCTTTTAGATGAGCACAGGTATCAATTTACTATTTAACTATCATTTCTTAGGGGAAGGAAAAAACAATGTCATTTGAAAATTTTGTGGCCAAGAAAAACATCTCTATACAAGATCTAATTGTCTGTGTAATATTTATTTATTTATTTTTAGGACTTTAAAAAAAAATTTTTTTTATTGTACTTGAGGTGAAGGCTTACAGAACAAAATAGTTTCTCATTTAACAGTTACTACAAATGTTGCCCTATGACAATGGTTAACAATCTCACAACACATCAACAATATCCTTACTCAGCCTTGGGTTCCCTATCACCAGCTTCCTTGTCCCCTTCTGCTTTCTGGCCCTTGTCACTGGACTCCTGTACCTCATTAGTCTCATTTGGTTTTACGGGGCTGTCCACTCCCAGGCTGAACAGTGAACCTTGGAGGTAACTTCACCACTGAGCTAAAAGGGTGCCTGGGGGCCATACTCTCGGGGTTTTCTCCAGTCTCCTTTAGGCCAGTAAATCTGGTCTTTTTTTTGTGAGTTAGAATTATGCTCTACATCCTTCTCCAGCTCTGTCCAGAACCCTCTGTTGTGATCCTGGTCACTCAGTGGTGGTAGCCGGGCATCATCTAGCTGTACTGGACTCAGTCCGGTGGAGGCCTTGGTAGCTGTGGACAATTAGTCCTTTGGACTAACCTTTTCCTTGTATCCTGTTCTCTTCATTCTCCCTTGCTCCCGAAGGGATGAGACCAGTGGAGTATCTTAGATGGCCGCTCACAGGCTTTTAAGACCCTAGACACTACTCACCAAGGTAGAATGTAGAGCACTGTCTTTATAAGCTGTGTCATGCATATTTATTTTTTAAATAAGTAAAATAATCCCACGATTCAAAGTTAAAATAAGTAAACAAAGAAACAAACAAAACAACCTAATGCATTTTACTTTTATTTTTATTGTACTTTAAGTGAAAGTTTACAATTCAAGATAGTTTCTCATATAAAGATTTATACACACATTGTTATGTGACCCTAGTTGGTCTCTCTATACTGTGACAGCGCACTCCTTCTTTCCATCCCAGATTTCCCATGTCCATTCATCCAGCTCCTGACCCTCCCTGCCTTCTCATCTCACCTCTGGACAGGAGCTGCCCATTTAGTCTCATGTATCTACTTGAGCTAAGAAGCATACTCTTCACGAGTATCATTTTATGTCCCATAGTACAGTCTAATCTTTGTCTGAAGAGTTGGCCTTGGGAATGGTTTGAGTGCTGGGTTGACAGAGAATCCGGGGGCCATGTCTTCCAGGGTCCCTCCAGTCTCAGTCAAACCATTAAGTCTGGTCTTTTTACTAGAGTTTGAGTTCTGCATCCCACTTTTCTTCTGCTCCATCAGGGACTCGCTGTTGTGTTCCCCGTCAAGGTAGTCATTGGTGGTAGCCGGGTACCATCTAGTTCTTCTGGTCTCAGGCTGATGGAGTCTCTGGTTTATGCGGCCCTTTCTACCTCTTAGGCTAATACTTTCCTTGTGTCTTTGGTGTTCTCATTCTCCTTTGCTCCAGGAGGGTTGGGACCAACTGATGATCTTAGATGGCTGCTCACTAGCTTTTAAGACCCCAGACGCCACTCACCAAAAACCTAAGGCATTTTAAAGTAATCTATCAGTTAGAAAAATACTAAAAGGTAGGATGAACAAGATGATATGTAATTGATTTTCTTCTTCATACTTTTCATTTTTCCAATTTCCTACTCTGAAGTGTATTACTTTTATGATCAGAAAATAATAAAAAAAGCCAAGAGTACACTCATTCATTTAAAAAATATTTGTCAAAAGCTTACTCTGTGCAAAGTGTACAAACTGCTGGGATATGACAGTAAATGCAACAATCCTTGCCTAATAGGAGTCTGCAGTCTAGGACAGGGAAATAGTAAAGAGCCATTACAATAGAATAAAAAAGAGCTCTGACAGGGGTATGCAGAAGGTGTTATGGGTTCACACAGAAAGGGCACTTATGACAGTTTGTAGTGGGGTGGGAGAGCAAGGAGTAGGAGTTAGGTGGAGAAAATGGAAGAGGTCTTTCCAGAGAGAGAGGTAACAGGGAATAGCCTCATCATTTGGTGTAGTGCTGTACCCTGTTCATCTTCACTAATTCATTTGTGAAACTTCATTTATGTGTCAAGCACTCAGCTAGATGCTGGTGATACAGTAGTGACCAAAATATACCCATCCCCTAAAGAGGCAGGAAAGACAGATAAATCAAGTAATCACACAAAAAGAGAAGAAGCTGTTAAAAATGAAGCAGTATAATATAAAGTACCACAGAAGTCCCATAATGAAGGACTAGTCGAGGCAGCATAAAAAGACTTCCCTGAGAACAGGATGATTGAGCTGAGATCTAGACAGTATGAGAATGAAGGGGAAACTCCAGTCAAGGGGCAGGATTTGGAGGGAATAGAGAAAGAAGACAGCTACAAGTCATAATAATTTCCTGCAGTCATTCTTAGCACTCTTTGGCAGGGATATCTTACATAAAAGGTTATTTAAATGAAACTTCAAGAAGAGTCCCACAGAATACTCCCTGTGCTGCATAAATCCAATTATACTGCCACCTATACAGAAATTGTGGAGCCATAGTGAATCTGAGGGATGAGCTCCTGCTAAGCAGGCTAAGTGAAAGGTAGGGTGGGAAGAGGGAGAAAAGCCTTCCAGCCTGAACAAACATGTGTGACTGCTTTGAGACAAGAGTTAACAAGATTTCTTTGAGTCTCTGAAAGAAAACAAAGAACAAGAGGCAGAGTATAAAGAATAGAGAAGTAGGCATGACGACTACTGTACCGAGATGAAGACTTTGGTATTTATCTTAAGAGCAATGAAAAACCAATGATA